GTGTATATTTAACATTATAATTTCCAGACAGTTTCTAAGGCAGTTGGACCATTTGACGCTCTCACTCCCAGTGTAAGAGTGTTCTAGATGCTCCACACTCTTGCAATGTTCAGTGGTGGTGTTCTTTAAAAATTTTAGCGACTCTAGTGGAAAACTTTGGAGAAGGAAATGGCAACCCACTGCAGTATCCTTGCCGGGAGAGTCCTATTGACAGAGGAGCCTGGTGGGCTCAGGGTCATAGGGTCGCAAGGAGTCGGACTTGACCGAAGTGACTTAGCAGTGGACAAAATAGTGATATCTCATTATGGTTTTAATTTACACTTCTGTGATGACTGATGATCCTGGCCCTATTTTCATCTGCAAGTTGTTCATTCATATATTTTCTTTCGTGATGTGTCTATTCTAGTCTTTTGCCCACTTAAAAAAATTTGGTTGTTTGTCCTTTTATTGTTGGTGTGTAGGAGTTCATTGTGAATGTGGATTTGAATGTATATCTTCCCCAGTCTGTAGCTGCTTTATTCGTTTTCTTAAAGGTGTCACTGGGGGCAGAAATTGGCTGCAGCCTCGCCACATTTGCTCATAGAGGATTCCTGGGAGTGTGAAGTAAAGGTTGCATTGTGTCAAGTATACAGCAGGTGCTCAGAAGGAGCTTATTTACTTTTCCCTACTCCCTCTCCTGGCCAAGTCCTCCCAGATCATTTTCTCAACTGAAACAGATTTCCTATCATCTTTATCCATCTGCCCATGTTTCACTCACCCTTGAAAGCCCAGTTTAACACGGGCTTGTGGCACCAAGCTCCTTATGGTGTCCCAACCCATGGAAACAACCCCAGAGCTGGATCAAATAGCAGTGACTCTCTCTCACTGAGGGTGTCGTGTTCTCCCACTGACTTCCAGGAAGGTGCTACAGATTGACAGTGTGTTGCTACTGAGTCCATTTGGCTGATGCAGAAACTGAGGGCAAGAGAAAGGTCCGCTGACTCACCATAGTTACTGGTACAGCCAGGATGGAGACAGGGTGTTCAAGTCCACAGGCAGCAATTAGCTGTACGTCCATCACCATTGACCTGATCCCAGCCCTCCTCACATCTTGCTTGGACTGTTGCAGGGCCGTCTCCTCCTCACTCAACACAAACTCTTTGAGTGTTACCCATTCCCAGGGCCTGCATTCAGCTGCAGACTGTAGTTATTAATCAAGCATCACCCTGCCTTCCAGGGCCTCCCAGACCAGGGTAAAGGCATGTGCTCCAGCTGTTAGGATGCAAAGTGGTGAGAGGCATGTACTGCAGATGGATACACAGGGCTCTGTAGGTGTGAGGGAGACCTGGAAAGAGCACTGCTTTCACTGCCTGGGGGCGGGGGTGTAGGCGGGACCCCAGGAACATCGTCTCAGGGGAGTAACACTTGAACCAGCGTTTGCCAACTGAATCGCCTTTTCCAGGAAGAAAAGGTAGAAAGCCACGTGGAAAGGAAGGGCAGCACAGAGAGAGGGGAGATCATGTGCTAATGTCCAGAGACACTGAAAAGTACAAGGGATTCAGGGATGTGCGTGTTTATAGGCACCACCGGTGGGTGGCGGGCTGTTGGGGGGCTGAGCTTGGAGACGTCAGTCATAAAACACATGACATGTCAAGTAAGAAACTTGGGTTTTCTCCTGAAAGTAATGGGAGCTTTTGGAGGATTTGAAGATGGGGGAGGACAAGGGGTTAAGTGCTGGAGGCCGCCTGTCTGTGGCAGTTGCTAAGAGGATGGATGGGGGTATGCTGCTTTAACCTGAGACCTGTGGGACACTCCTCCTGTGGTCCGTCCAGGTGAGAGATGACAGGGGCTGCCTGACCCCGGGGAGAGGGCATGGGAGTGGAGGGAATGCCTCATCTCCACCCAGCAGAGCTGTTGAGAACTGATTGGCCACGATGTAAATAGAGCACAGTTGGAGTCACAGTAACACAATCCGATCACCATTCAAAAAGGACAGAAGGGAGGCTTCACTGGAGAGAAGCATCCTGCCCTTTGGATGGCCACACGTGGACCTCCCTTGCCCCCCGCCCCTGTATCTGCCTGGAAATGGACATGGCTGTGTGTGTGACCCTGGAGGTGGCTTTGGGATAGACAAGCTGGTGGTGAGCCCCGGTGCAGAGGCATGATGTGGGGGAGGTCAGAGAGCCTGGGGGTGCGGGAGGAGTGGACGGGCTCTGCTTGGCATCTGGAAGTTTCGTGTGGTCAGACAGATGTGCATCTGCCTCCTGCCTCAGGAACTCTGCTCTTGGAATAAATCTCTTAATCTCTTTAAGCCATAGCCTCCTCATCTCTGTGGTAAGGCTGATCACAGCCTCTGTCCTGGAGGTGTTTGGGGATTTAGTGCCAAAATGTATGTGGTGGTTGTTCTTCAGTCACTAAGTTGCATCTGATTCTTTGTGGTCCCTTGGACTGCAGCGCGCCAGGCTTCCCTGTCCTTCACTGCTTCCCGGAGTTTGCTCAAACTCATGTCCATCCTGTCAGGGATGCCATCCAACCATCTCATCCTCTGTTCTCCCCTTCTCCTCCTGCCTTCAGTCTTTCCCAGCATCAGGGTCTTTTCCAATGAGTTAGCTCTTTATATCAGTTGGCCAGCGTATTGAAGCTTCAGCTTCAGCATCAGTCCTTCCAATGAATATTCAAAGTGCATGTAAAGAAAGCCGTTGGCATGCTATTAAGCACCATACCTGCTGGATTCCGGGTCATCTGCAGAAGTCACCGCGAATGTTTCCTGGTGCTGTTATTTCCCCTATCCTGCCTCTGGAAGCTACCCAGCCTCAGGGCAAGGCACAGATGTGGGAGCCAATTCCTAGGAAAGTCCATCACTGATGCATTGGAAGTCCCCCTCCTGCCCAGTCCATAGCAGGCATGAGCCCCTAGAAGGGCCTTGGCAAGAATTATTTGCATCTTTTTTTTTTTGGTGAAGGCCCTCCTATTGCTGCTCAGCACCACCCTCTGGCAGATTTTCTGGGCTGTGCCCACCAGGCAGTTAAGGAACTGACATCCCAAAGGTAATTTCTCCCCAAGGAGGTATTTTATGGGTTGTTGATGTTTCAGTGCTGCTAGGAGATTTCCCTCTGACCCGTCCTGGGCCAAGCCTGCACCAGCCACCCGGGACTGTGCACGCTGGGGGGCCGTGTGCCTCCTTGGCGAGGGAGGATGGAGCAGGCCTTACTGGGAGGACCACGAGTGTTCCTGATTGTACCTTCCCCTCTGCCGTGGGCTGTTGGGGGCTTAGGCCAGTGAAAAGTGCTGAGATTGCCCGAAAGCATTGTTATTACTGAAAGCCAGAAAACTGCCTCCCTCACTCCCAGTGCAAAAGGAGGCAGAAAACTCATCGATAAGTGTCTTAATATGCAACTGCCATTAACTCGACAATAGTTATTAAAAGCTATCAATTATTTAGATATAGGAATCTGGGGAGGAAAGCCCTTAGGAGCACATCTAAAGCTGGTAGAGTGTCAATAGTAGAGTTATTAATTTCCAGCTCGGGGATAGTATTTAAAACACGGGTTATGAAAGCCCTTCGGAGGAAGAGAACTTTCACGGTCACGCAGATGCTGAGCTAAGGGAACATCTGGGGGCATGCAGGGTGCTGTTCATACCCTGCCTCCAACACAGCCCCGTGTGGGGTGTGTCCGACTGGGGCTGGGCCCACGGGAGAGGACCAGGTGGTCCTGTCTGCCTACACTTGACCTTCCTCGTCTCTAGCCTGAGGCCTGAATGCCTCCTTAGAGCTATAGCTCTGTCGGGTGCTGGTACCGAGATGGCCACTAGGGGGAGCCGAGGTTCTCAGCCAAGAGCGTCTCTCCCGCAATGTAAAAAGCCCAAGGGGACCCTTCAGCACGCGTGCCTTTTCCACCCAGGATTCGGAAAGCAGGCTGGGCTGGGGACAGCGTGGCCGCTGACTGGCCTGGCAGAGGTGGACAAGTATTTAAAGGAGCCCCCGTCTCTAAGCGATATCCGGGTCCGTCCTCACCAATCTGCCTCCCTCCTGAATAGGAAAAACGCAGCTACATTCCGGGCGGCACACAGCCAACTTCAAGGTGACCTCTTCCCGGAACCCTTCCAGAGGTGCCTGTCGTGTGGGAACTCCAGGTCCCCGGGCATCGTCTGCTCAGCGAGGAGGAAGCTGAGGAATATGTGCTGCTTCTTCCTCCCCTTCTTCCTTTTCCTGCTGTTAACTGCCCACCCCCCGCATTTGATTGAGCACCTCTGATTTGCAGGCAACAGTGGGCATTGTGTCGGGGTGCTAAAGGATGGTGGGGACTTCTTTGAGAGACAAAGCTCTGTATTCAAGGGTTTCCCACTCAGTTTGGAGATACAGAAATTTGATTCAATGCAATGAACATTACCCGAGTGCCCACATGAGAAACAGTAGAGTATGGGGCAAGAGAACCGATCTGGTGACGGAGTTTTTCAGTCTTGGCTTCACCTCAGAGAGCCAGTGTGATGTTGTGTTACTTAAACCTGCTTGGTCTCTATTTCCTCCTCTGTAATATGGGTCAGACATCCCTGGGTTCGCCACAGACCTGTTTTAAGACTCACATATGGCCATGGAAGAGAGAGGCTTTCTTAACTGTGAAATAAGCGTCACTTCTTTTGTGAAGTCCCCAAACCCTCCCACCGCCAAGTGTCTGCCTTCCCACACTTCTCCTAGCTCAGCTAGAGCCATCTGCACGCACAGCCAGGATTTACCTGTCATTCAACAGAGAACTCAAGAGTAGGGATGGTGGATATGCCCGGTTCGTTCAGCTCACAGCCTGGGGACTTCCCTGGAAATACAGTGGTTAGGGCTCAGCATTTTCACTTTGGTGGCCTGGGTTCGATTCCTGGTCAGGGAACTAAGATCCCGAAAGCTGCGTGACAAGGCCAAAAGAAAAAAAGAAAGTTTAAGCTCACAGCCATGACTCCTGATTTGCAGGAATGTTTACAGATGTTTGGAGTAAGGTGTTGCAGTGAGGGAGCGGGTGAGAATGCCTCACCACTTTCCAGTTTGGGGTCCTGGGCTGATGGCAGTACCTCCAGGTGCACGTAGGTGGACACTGACTGGGCTCGGGTCTTGGCTGATGCCCGGGGGGAGAACCTGACCACTGCGAAGCCGGCCACAGGGCCTGGGCTGTGGACACACATATTGGAGGCCCTCAGGGCGAGGTGAGCACTGAAGCCCTGGGAGTGGGTGGGCTCCAGGACGGGAGGGGGCAGCATTTCCCACAGGGCGGGCTGGATGTCACAGGGGGGCGGTGTCATCAGCCGCCGACGGTGTGTACAGGGCCGGGTCACAGAGCGGGAGACCGACCCCTTCCGGACTGTCCATCAGTGCTGCCTTGTTGAGGGACGTGGTTTGGTGCCAGTGAGCCCCTCTGGCCTGTGCTACTCTGCCTTTCAGATGAAGTGCGAGCAGGCGCTTGCAGCAGGCAGCACAGCCCAGCAGCAGTTCACACTGGGTCTTCTTTCCTGGTCACTTTTAAGAAGTGACGGCATTTATATATATGTGCCATAGTGATACTCTGTTTCCTTTAAGTACATTTATTTGAGTTACAAATAAAGGGAGTCACTGTAAAGGAAAATATTAAATAAACAATAGTCCAGGTGGTGCAGGAATACAGTAAAAATCCCTATGCTCCTTCACCAGTGATTGTAGTGGGGTGAGAGCCCAGGTTTGGAGTCATGGGTGGAGATCCTGTGATTTTTCTGGTGGTGGCCCTGGACTTCTGAGCTTCAGTCTACATATCTGTAAACAGGGTTTATAAGACCTTCTCAGAGGAATGGCGATGAGGAGCAAAAGAAATGATGCGTGAAGAGTACTTGGCACAGAGCCGGGCATACAGTAGGTGCTCAGTCATTGCACATTGTTAGGCATTTTACCTTGTAGTGGGTGTGTGCGGGGCTGCAGACTATGGGCCAGAGCCCCGGGCAGCATGCACCTTGGGCGTGGAGGCAGGAGGAGGTGTGGAGGCAGGAGGAGGTGTGGGATGCCTGAGGAATGGTCTGGGAGGGACCAGGGGACCCAGAGGGCGTGACCTGTGGACCAAGGGAGGGAGAGCCTGGCTCAGCCCACACAGAGCCCCTGGGAAGAAGCCAGCGGGCTCTGCTTCAGCCTCAGGAGGGAGTGGCCTCCTCACTCAGCCCTGCCGCTCCACCTCCCCTTCCTGCGGGATTTTAATTCAGAACTACAAGTGTGCATATTCAGAATAAGATCCCAGCAACATTAACCTTGAAAGTTCCAGCCTGGAAGGTCCTCTTTCCTCCTGAAGTTTGGTGTTAGTGCACTGGGGAGAATGGCCCAGTGTCTTTTGGGAGCGGTGGGCTCTGGCTGATGAAATCACAATTCTTCCCCAACTTGTAGATAAGAGTGCGGGCGCATGTGCTAAGTCACTTCAGTCGTGTCCGACTCTGTGACCCTGTGGACTGCAAAGCTCCTCAGTCCATGGGATTCTCCAGGCAAGAGTGAGTTGCTGTGCCCTCCTCCAGGGGATTTTTCCTCCAGGGGATCTTCCTGACACAGGGACTGAACCCGCATCTCTTATATCTTGCATTGGCAGGTGGGTGCTTTACCGTTAGCACTTCCTAGGAAGCCTGCAGACAAGAGGAGTGCATCCAAAAATATTAATGAGCTTTTCAATCTCTTTGTCCCTTCCTCCCTTTCTTCCTTCCTTCCAGAGGTGTTTATTGAGGGCATACCGGGCACTCAGATTTTAACCTTGGTCAAAACCAGGAGTGCCTTCTCTGGCAGAGGCCTACTTTCAGTTCTTTAAACATGAGCAAGAGGCAGAAATTCCAGGCTCTGTGTCACTTGGATCAGCCCAGGAATTCTTCTCTGGTTCACCGGACCCCAGTGTTCACATAGCATTCAGGTCACACACGCAGGTTGCCTTGAGCCCATCTGCCTGTGTGAGTTCACCTTGCTGGTCTGTTTTCTCAGTTTTCCGTGTCCGGCAGGAGATGTGCTTCGTTTTCTCCGCCAGGCGGCCAGGCTGGCTCCGCTCCGCCGTCTGCCATGCCCACTGAGTTCCAGCCATCACGCCTTTGTGTGTGGGGTTCCCCCTTTCTGGAGTGCTGTCTTCCCTCTTTTTCACTTCTGGAGACACCCCAGGCTTTTCCTTCTCCAGAAAGTCACCCTGAGGTTCTCCAGGGCTTCCCTGCCCTGAGGCCCCACGTTTCAGCCCCCACCTCGAGCCCACTGGCCCTGGATCACCTGGGTTCCCCACTGGGGAGGTGACTGGGCCTTAGGATGGGATATTTGCTGAACGCTTGTTCCGCATCCATCCATGAGCTCCTGTAGAGGCAGGGGCTGGACTGACCCCGTTTCAGGTGAGGAGGTGACAGCTGTGCTCAGGGTCACCCAGCAGAAGAAGCAGAACTAGCGCTGGTGTTCAGCTGCTCTGGCATCAGAGCCCCACTCTCTGGATGCCCCCCGCCCTACACACAGTGCCGGCTCGGGGAGCCGAGGAAGGAGCGGGTCCCTGAAAGCCCAGGCTGCCAGGATGCTGGGTTAAGCACGCCGGGTGGTGGATTTAACGTAGGAGGTGTCTGGTGGGCATTAAGCAAGTTTAGCCACGTGGAGACCGGAGCTGCTGCCTGTGGCTGGGGCTGGCATCTCTGTACAAAGCCCCCCTCTGATTACCTGAGTGCTCACTGCTATCCCTGGAATGCCATCCCTCCTCCGCTATGATTCAAAGCATTTATTTAGTTTTGTTTTGCTTTATTCCCCCAAGGGTTTCAGCTGACCTACAAGAAAACATTCAATAAAGTCCTAATAAAATATAAATAAGAACAACAAGGGAAGACGCTGTTCACATCATGACACAGTGTCTGCTGCACCTGATGGTCCTTCGTGGATCAGATGATCCTCACTTCCAGTCCTTCCATTCAGAGAGGTCATGCCCATCACATGATTTAAGCTCAAATGTAAAGATTCAAGGTTTTTCTCAGGTTGTCTTGTGCAGGCACTGTCAGAACGTTCGCTTTCTAGAAAAAGTGGCTGCTTTGAAGGGCCCAGGTCACTGTCAGCCTCCCTGACGCTCTTCTCGATCAGCTCCTCATGCTGAGAACGTGGCCCTGCCCTCTGGCCATAACCTGGTGGCTTTCCAGGTGAGATGAAAGATGCTGTTATAAACAGGCTGTGTGTGCTCACTTGCTCAGTTGTGTCCGACTCTTTGTGGCCCCACAGACTGTAGCTCGCCAGGCTCCTCTGCCCATGGAATTTTCCAGGCTAGGAATAGTAGAGTGGGTTGCCATTTTCTCCTCTGGGGGGTGGGGTCTTCTCAAACCAGGGATCGAACCCACATCTCTTGTGTCTCCTGCATTGGCAAGCGGATTCTTTACCACTAGCACCACCTGTTATAAATAGGGACAGCGCTCAATTCTCGCAGAGAATCTGGTTGGGCCAAGGGGCCACCAGAGCCGGGCACCGAAACGGCCTCTCCCGGGGGGCAGGTGCTGCGCCCGACTGCCTGGGCCACTGAGTCACGTGGCTGCTGGCCCCACAGACGATGCTGAACCATTCGCTGCTCCTATTTGCTTTCCTTGCCTTAAAGAGACGTGGTTACTGGCTTGGGCTTGTGAGCCTCGGGCTTTGAGAAACCAGGGAAAAGGCTATTGTGAGGATGCTGAGTTTTTCTTGCTGGGAGCCCCTGGGGGAGCCAGGAGGAAAGCTGACCTGCGTGAGCTCCCAGGACACACCTGGGGCCCGGGGATATGTTCCTTCCTTTCTCATCTGAATGGGTCTCACTCGGTGATTTGCAGCCCTGCTGGGGAGGCAGTGTGACTGTGAATACGCAGGAGGCAGGAGATGCTCCACCTGGGGCACCGAAGACCGTGGTGACTGATTTGCCACCTGCCTTTCCAGGGAGAACTTTGAGAACCGGGCTGGACAGTAACAAGGAAGGAGCCTTGGGAAGGGCCAAGTTTGAGTCCCAGTTGGGTTTGCTCTTGACTGGCTCTGTGACCTTGGGCAGGTATCTGACCCCTCTGATGTCTGAAGATGACCAGAGAGGATGTCTGTAAAAGGCCATGTCCCCGTTGGAGCCCAGAGCCAGCAGGATATGGACGCCGCTAGGCTGTTCTGCGTGGGTGAGTCCCTGCCCTTCCAGAGCCCGACTCTTAAACGCAGGTAGACACACAGGTAGACTCTCACACATGGAAACAGGTGACTGCAGCAGGAATCCGTGCCCCAGGGAAGCTCCGAGAGGAAGCACCTGACCAGCCTGGAGGTGCTAGTAGCTTAGGACAGGTAGGAGTCAGGTGAGGTGAGCAGGGGGATTGGGAATCCCAGGCAGAACAAAGGCCTGTAGGGGTGGATGGCAGGGTGCTGTGGGGAAGGATTTAGGAGTGTCTGGGGGATAGCATTTTTTTGGAATCGGGGAGCGATGAGAGAGAGGCCTGGGCTTGTAGAAAAGGATAAGATGGTGCAGGGCCTTGACCCAAATCCTTCAAGCGCCCCCGCCCCCACTTCCCCGAATCCAGGCCCCCACCTAGTCTTGGGGCGGGACTGGGGTTGTGAACACAGAGGTGTTTTCAGTGTGGGTCTGCAGTGCTGGGGGGGCTTCCCATCACAGGTGGAATCATGTCATGCCCCCACTCTAGACCCCTCCTCATCTCCTCTCTGCCTTCCTGACGAAGGAAGCCCATGCTTTTGGCCTGATCTTCATGGCTTTGTGTGATCCGATACCACCCCTTCCCCCTCCCTCACCTCTCTCCCCTTCTTTCTTTCTTTTTTTTTTTTTAAGATTTTTAATTGGAGGAAAATTGTTTTGCAATGTTGTGTTGGTTTCTGCCATACAACAACACAGAAAGTGAAAAGTGGAAGTGTTAGTTGCTTAGTCATGTCCTACTGTTTGTGACCCCATGGACTGTAGCCCGCCAGGCTCCTCCGTCCATGGACTTCTCCAGGCAAGAATACTGGAGTGGGTGGCCATTCCCTCCTCCAGGGCATCTCCCCAGTCCAGGGATTGAACCCTGTCTCCTGGATTGCAGGCAGATTCTTGACCATCTGAGCCGCCAGGGAAGCCCACAACAATGCAAACCAGCCATAATTATGCATACATATCTCCCCCACCCCGCCTTCGCTTTCAAACCGTTCTTCCCTCTCACCGCACTCATGCTGTCTTCTCCTGGCCCTCCTTTACCCGTGTCATTCCTGCACATCCTTCGGGGCTCAGCTCAGGTTTTGCCTCCTCCAGGAAGTCTTCCATGAGTCCCTCTGAGGCCTGTGGGCCTGTGCTTCCCCATCTCAGCACATTTGATCCTCAGCTCTTTGTCAGGCTTCCCCACCAGGCTGTCATTGATGTGGGAGCAGGGGCAGGTATGTGCTACTCCCTCTGTTCCCTGGGTCTTGGCCCTTAATAGGTAACTCATTAGTCACGGTTGCATGAATGAGTGATTGAGTGAATTAATGAAGGGCTTTGATTTCTTGGCAATCTGCTCACTTACATTGCTACTTTAGAGATTCTGGAGCTAAGCCTTTACTGCTTCGATTCACTGTATGTATTTTTATTCTGGCTTTTCTATTGCACTGCCTGGCGCACAATAGCACTCCACTTTTTATATCCCTGAGCCCACCCACTCTGTTCTGATGCCTGAGCCTCTCGGATTCTTCAATAGGAAGACTTTTAATCTGCCCGGGCACAGCCATTTCAGAAGCGCGTTTCAAAGCTTCTTGAAAGCGAGGTGCTGCAGCTTTGATGCCTCTGTTAGCACCTCTGCGGGGGATGCAGGCTGGCTCACGGAGGTCTTGGGGCCTGTGTGGGGGGCTGAGGACAGTCCGCCCGGACTGGAGGGGATGAGAGCTACCCCTTCCGCCCAGGCTCCATCCACTGCAGGGCCCTCTTCTTCAGTGACCGATGGGGCTTCTGCACACACCCCTGCATCCTCAGGGACTTTGCACCCCTTTCCCAGAGGCTGGGACTGCCTTCCAGCTTCACCCCTCACTGGACATTGCCCTGGGCTGCGGGGGCCTGCTTACCCCTCGTGTAGCCCATTCCCTTAGCTATGGAAGAGGCTCATGGAAGACAGGCTGCAGTTCTGGAGGCCTTGATTAGGACAATTCCAGGGGACCACCCTGGTTCCAGAGCTCTTGTGGAATCAGCTGAGGCTTCAGTTATCACCCCACCACCCACTGCATTGGGGTCAGCTCCTCCCTCTGCCCATCCCCACCTTCCTCTCTCCCTTTCTCGTGTGTCTCCCGGGATTACTTGGCAAAAAATGTTCTTCATGGACTTTCCATCCCAGAGTCTGTTTCTAGAGAACCTGCTCTAAGAACACTTCTTAACTGTGAGGTAACAGGGGCCTCCTGGTCACCAGCTGTCAGGGAGCGACTGAGAGGGTGTGGGTGATGAGGCAGCCCTGAGGAACACCTCTGATATGGATGCCTGGAGTGTCATGACCGGAGCCCCAGGATCCCTCTTCTTCCCTGGACCTGATTCCTGTGGGGCTCCGGGTGGTCTTCATTACAGCCTGGGTACAGGCTGAGCTCTTCTTTCAGGTCTGGGTTTGTCTCTGCCTTGGGATTTTGCCTAAGGGAGTGTGACCGTCAAGGCTTGTTAAGAGCTGGGTAAAGTCCAGATTAGCCACTCAGTCGTGTCCGACTCTTTGCGACCCCATGGACTGCAGCACACCAGGCTTCCCTGTCTGTCACCAACTCCCGGAGCTTGCTCAAACTGATGTCCATCGAGTCGGTGATGCCATCCAACCATCTCACCCTCTGTTTCCCTCTTCTCTTCCTGCCCTCAATCTTCCCCAGCATCAGGGTCTTTCCCAGTAAATCAGTTCTTGGCATCAGGTGGCCAAAGTATTGGAGTTTCAGCTTCAGCATCAGTCCTTCCAATGAATATTTAGGACTGATTTCCTTTAGGATTGACTGGTTTGATCTCCTTGCTGTCCAAGGGACTCTCAAGAGTCTTCTCCAACACCACAGTTCAAAAACAACAATTCTTCAGTGCTCAGCTTTCTTTATAGTGCAACTTTCACATCCATACATGACTACTGGAAAAACCAGAGCTTTGACTAGATGGACCTTTGTTGGCAAAGTAATGTCTGTCCTTTTTAATATGCTGTCTAAGTTTGTCATAGCTTTTCTTCCAAGGAGCAAGTGTCTTAATTTCATGGCTGTAGTCACCATCTGCAGTGATTTTGGAGCCCAAGAAAATATAGTCTGTCACCGTTTCCATTTTTTACCCATCTATTTGTCATGAAATGATGGGACTGGATGCCATGACCTTAGTTTTCTGAATGTTGAGTTTTAAGCCAACTTTTTCACTGTCCTCTTTCACTTTCATCAAGAAGCTCTTCAGTTCCTCTTTGCTTTCTGCCATAAGGGTGGTGTCATCTGCATATATGAGGTTATTACTATTTCTCCTGGCCATCTTGATTCCAGCTTGCGCTTCATCCAGCCTGGCAATTGCATGGTGTATTCTGCATATAAGTTAAATAAGCAGGGTGACAATATATAGCCTTGATGTACTCTTTCCCCAATTTGGAACCAGTCCGTTGTTCCATGTCTGATTTTAACTGTTGCTTCTTGCCCTGTATACAGGTTTCTCAGGAGGCATGTCAGGTGGTCTGGTACTCCCATCTCTTTAAAAATTTTCCACAGTTTTTTTGTGATCCATACAGTCAAAGACTTTAGCATAGTCAGTGAAGCAGAAGTAGATTTTTTTCTGGAATTCTCTTGCTTTTTCTATGACCCAACATGTATTGGCAATTTGATCTCTGGTTCCTCTACCTTTTCTAAATCCAGCTTGAAAATCTGGAAGTTCTTTGTTCATGTACTGTTGAAGCCTTGCTTGGAGCATTTTGAGCATTACTTTGCTAGTGTGTGAGATGAGTGCAATTGTGAGGTAGTCTGAACATTCTTTGGCTTGCCTTTCTTTGGGATTGCAATGAAACCTGACCTTTTCCAGTCCTGTGGCCACTGCTGAGTTTTCCAAATTTGCTGACATATTGAGTGCAGCGCTTTAACAGCATCATCTTTTAGGATTTGAAATAACTCAGCTGGAATTCTGTCACCTCCACTAGCTTCATTCATAGTGATGCTTCCTAAGGCCCACTTGACTTCACACTCCAGGATGTCTGGCTCTAGGTGAGTGATCACACCATCGTGGTTATCACGGTTATGAAAATCTTTTCTTTTTGTATAGTTCTTCTGTGTATTCTTTCCACCTCTTCTTAATATCTTCTTTCTGTTAGGTCCATACTGTTTCTGTCCTTTATTGTGCTCATCTTTGCATGAAATATTCCCTTGGTATCTCTATCTTTCCTTTTCTCCTTTGCTTTCACTTCTCTTTTTTTCTCAACTATTTGTAAGGCCTCCTCAGACAACCATTTTGCCTTTTTGCATTTCTTTTCCTTGGGGATGGTTTTGATCACTGCCTCCTGTACAATGTTACAAACCTCCATCCTGGGTAAACAGGTGATTTGTTGTTGTTCAGTCATTCAAGTCATGTCCAACTCTTTGTGACCCCATGGACTGCAGCAGGCTAGACTTCCCTGTCCTTCACTATCTCCCAGAGTTTGCTCAAACTCATGTCCATTGAGATGGTGATGCCATCAGACCATCTCATCCTCTGTCATCCCCTTCTCCTGCATTCAATCTTTCCCAGCATCAGGATCTTTTCCAATAAGTGGGCTCTTTGTATCAGGTGGCCAAAGTATTGGAGCTTCAACTTTAGCATCAGTCCTTCCAATGAATATTCAGAGTTTATTTCCTTTAGGATCGAGTGGTTTGATCTTGCTGTCCAAGGGACTCTCAAGAGTCTTCTCCAGCACCACAGTTGGAAAGCATCAATTTTTTGGCACTCAGTCTTCTTTATGGTCCAACTCCCACATCCATACCTGACTATTGGAAAAACCATAGCTTTGACTATTTGGACCTTTGTTGGCAAAGTGATGTCTCTGCAGGGGCTGGCCTCTGGTAAAAGCTGGATCCAGAACTCAGCTTGGCCCTCAGCAGACCTAAGGGATTTTTCCTACATCCTGCTGGGGAATCCAAGGTAGAAACAGGCCCTGTGGACCACATGCATAAGAATGGCCATCCTGCCTCTTCCCATTTACATGCTGCCATAGACTGTGTCCTCCTCAGGCTCACAGGTTGAAACCTAACCCTCAAGGCAGTAT